ATGGATCTCTGTGAGTCCAAAACCACCCAGATCTACACAAGACTGATCCAGTCCTAAAGAGAAACAGCTCACACAAAGATGATCTCTGCACCTGGGATCACACACCTTTAATCTCAGCATTAGGCAGGTATATATGACAGGAGTAAGGCTCAGTATCAGGCATTCATTCTCCAGTCATGTTGAGAATAGGAATGCCCCCGCCCTGTTAGAGGTAAGAACTCTCTGGCTGAGAGGTAAGGTATCTTGGCTGCTTTGCTTTCCTGATCTTCAGTTTGAACTCCAATGTCTGTCTCTGGGTCTTTTATTTTTCATGTTACAGAGTCTTGTATTGTTCTAATGTTCAGAAGTACAATGATACTAGCTAGTATTTCAATAGTGCTTATTATATGTAAGCACTATTTTGAGTATACACATACACATTCACATGTATACACATGCACAAATACATAAATTTTCAATAAGTCCTCACAGCAGCTGTATGGGATAGATTCAGTTGTTACCATAATGAGAGACAAAGAAACCGAGACATAGAAGAGCTAGACAATTTGCCCATGAGTACATGGCTAGGAAAAGAGCTTTCACTTGCATTGAGGAAGTCTGGTGGTATTCTGTGTTCTTAATGATAATATTAGCCTGTTCCTGCAACTTGAAAGCTTTATGCCTCATTTAGACATTTAGAGTCATAGATCCTCAATCAATTTGTCTCAGAATTATGATTCCTTGTGTATTTTAACCAGTTTTAAACACAATTATCATTTTGCTTTAACAGAACTACTGGAAGCTGAAATATGGGGATTGCAAATAAGGATTAATATTCCACTTACTTCAAGAGAACCCTGAGTGGATAAATGATATCACTGTGAAATATTTAGCTAATCACAAACTGTCACATTAAGTCTTTGAGCAATTTCAATTTAAACTAAAGGAGGACATTTCAAATATGTGAGATCTCAGCAAACCTTTTCTGCCTTTCCTGATTTATTCTGTGATTGCCTGACTATCCTAAGTAGAAAAGGAGGAATCATTTAGTCTCAATAGTTCTACTTACTTTTTGTGGCCTATCTTTTTCTATTATAGTGTGTCTGCCAATACCATCCATTTATCCATCCAAACATTCATCTGTCTGTCTGTCCATCTGCCTGTCCACCCACTCACCTACATACCCATCATCCATCCATCCATCCATCCATCCATCCATCCATCCATCCATCCATCCTTCCCTCACCCAGTATTGTATGTCATGCATATATGTCTAAGTCCTTGGATGTTACTACTAAAATGAGTTGGAAGGACCATGCTTTTTTTTTTTTTTTGCTGATTCCTATTACATGGGAATGACATGTAGGCATGTCAAGGATTGTTTTTACATGGTTAGAACCCATTTCAAAAAGAAATGTATTCCAATATACAGTCTAGGGCTATGAGAACTTATTTTAACTAGAAAGTCCTAGTGATTTAAGTTTTACTTGGACAAGGCTTATAAATTTTGAATTCTTTTGCTGAACTGTGGTCTCTTGGAGACCAGTCTGTGTCTGAAGGCTCTGCTAAGTTGATGTGATATTAGTATCAGCTCTTGCCTGAGGCTGGCTCCAAAGTGTGCTGTCATAACAGAATGGAGCATCTCCTGATAATCTAGCATCCATTTTCAATGACACCAGAAGTAGGGTAGCTTTCATTGGAGATTTTGACACATATTTCTGACTGAACTTTTTAGTCCTATTTTGTGCTCTGGACATCTCTATAATATTGAAGGAATCCAAGATTTTCATTTACTCATGGAAAAGTGGTGTTCCTGGAGTAGAAAAATGCCAGGAACACAAAGGACTAGGCAGAAAGAATGCTTCTTTATACCAAGACTTGTAGATTATATAAATGAAATCTTTCGCTGTGACTTTCAGTCATTTGATCACCCCAAAGATGAGCTTGGCTGAGTACTACTGTCTTCTACACTCCCGTAGAGTGGCAATTCACAATTTGGATAATCTTGAGATTTTTGTTTTTGTTTTTTCCATGAAGATCTTGCTTGTACTGATTAAATCAAGGGAAGTAAGGACAAAGGTCACTGAGACCCACTTTCTGTGAGTTGAATTACATCTTCTTCACCTTCAGAAAATCTCACTGTTGCTCATATTCACAACCTTTCTTCTGGCAGAAAAAATATCAAATTAAAGGGAGACTTCCCATGTCCAGTTCTACTCCTTCCCTTTCTTTGGTACTTGATTCATGTTGATAAGGTGGTGTTGTCTGCCCAGAAGAAGCTTAGAAACTAAGTACATTTCTACCTATGTCCAGATCTCCTGGTCTTTAAAACAAAGAGACAGAATCAAATGGCTTCCAAGGCCTTTACCAGTGCTAACATAGCATGGTTTTAGGGGGTTTTCTAATGAAGAAGAAGCTCATAGGATCTGAGCTCTCAACATCTCTCTCTCTCTCTCTCTCTCTCTCTCTCTCTGTGTGTGTGTGTGTGTGTGTGTGTATGTGTGTGTGTGTGTGTGTGTGTGTAGAAAGAGGGAATCAGGAAGGCAGAGAATGGATAGATGGACAGCTGAAAAGTTTTTTTCTAGGATATACAATCAAATTATATAATTTGATATCAGATATGTTTATTATGAGCTAACCGCTATGCTCCACCCCAAAATTTATGTTTAAGGTCCCAATTCTTGATTGAGGTCATGAAATTCAAATAAGATCATTAGGGTGAGCCCCAATCCAGTTTTACTGATATCCTAATGAAAACAAAATATTTGGAAACTGGCATATGTACAGAGGGAAGATTGTGGAGATGCAGGAGGGATGTCTCCAAGGGACTGATACCTTGAATGTGGCCTTCTATTCTCTAGAGCTGTGAGGAAAATGTATCTGTGGGTTAAACCACTTACTTTGTAGTCTGTGGTACTTTGTTATGGCAGCCATAGCAAACTAATACATCTTTAATGTCTAATACCAAAGTACAAAATAAAAGTTCAGAGACCTTCTAAAGGTTACCTCACAGGCTTTTATGTCAATACTGGATGCTCTTTGGCCTAAACCCTGGCCCAACTAAGAAGGAGAGTCACCAATGAAATCCAGAAAGAAATCTGGGAACTTCCATGACACAATACATGTTGCTGCAAATTTAGGGTTAATAGTTAATCCTGAACATATATTTACATGGGCAATTCTTCTCTAATAGATTTGTACAAAATTTAGGATGCATGAGAAGATGTGATCTTTATGTGTGTTTTTATTCTGATTTATTTTTGAAGAAGGGTGTATTTTGTTGCATGTTTTTAAGTTTTTGTGGTTGTTCTTGATGCTCCATTCTTGTCACTTTGTACTTTCTGAGGTCTTACATTTTCCTTTCCCACTCTTTCCATGTGTAATTACCAGATTTTGTAGTAGGTTATTTTTACTTCCATCATAGACATTATCTAGCTCAGTGGGGGCAATTTTTCTTCATTTTCCTCAGTAGTTTTTCTAAGGTGCTGTCTGTTCCTTTCTCATCCTTGCCTCTGTCACTTCCCTTTTGGCCTCCGTGGTCACAGTTCCTAGCTCTGCTCTCCCTTCTCTGCTCTGATGTGCTGAGTTGCTTCTGCTCCCTCCTTCCCTCCAGGCTGTGTCTTTGGCTCACCTTTCCTTCTCCTTTGAAGCTTCATTTTCTTGTTTGTAGATAGGGGCTGGGACTGCAAACATCACAAAAATAATTGCATTGAGAATGGATGGTTCTTGAGCTGAAGAAAGGCTTTGCGTCTGCCCAGAAGGCCTGGGCTCAATAGGAAAAAGGAGCCAGCCTTGGTGCTGGAGAGCAGTCTGCAACTCAGGCACCAGAGCTGACATTCCGGAGCTTTGGACCTTGTATCTTATACCCATGTTCTCTTCAACTAGAAAGAACAAACACCCTCTTGCCCTTCATTCAGACCCTGACATTCTTTCTTGTACCTACTGTGTTCTGTACATACCAACCAAGTCCCCTTGCATCCCTTGAGGTGACTCATAGAGGGTGATGTCTCCCCTAAGGCACCATGGTCCTCCTTCAGCCTCAGCTGTGGTTTAGGACCAGGAAATAGAAAAGTGTCATTGTGAACATTTAGGTCTCTTATCCTGTGCTTTCTGCACAATGCTAGTTTTGTTTCAATGATAGAATATACATGGTCACTTTTTTTTTCCCAGAAGAACTCCTCATAACAACTAAGAGAGGATTGTTCTTTCCTTCCCATTTCCTATTTTTCTTTTATACTCTCCTTGTAAGGACTACAATTTATTATTTAGGCTATGATATTTTGTTTAGTCATTCATTTATTCATTAACAAGTGTGTCAAGTGGCCAACATGCATGGATGTTTTATCTGTTTCTGATCATATAGATGGTGTTTCTGAGGTTGCTTTACAATAAATACTTGGACAAAGAATGCCTTGTGTCTTGATCGTTAGAAACATCTATGTATTCCTACAGCCAAACAGAGTATGTCCATTGTCAGTGTTTTTTTTTCTTTAATTTATAATTGTCACTGTGAATTTCAAAGAGGTCCTAGAAGCAAGTTTTTCTATATTTGGACCATTGTAGAATTCCAGGACTTACAAATTTTCGTAGTAGATACAGTTATGGCAAATATTAATCCTTGTCTAACAGTTACTTGGTGCAGGCATCCACTTGTACATGGAGTGCATCTTAGAATATTATTAACTTACTGAATTCTGACAACTTGTTGCAGTAAATACTATCATCATCACAATTTTATTGATAGCTGAGACTTGGTATGCTATTTGGCAAAGAGACCTCATTGGGCAACTTGAATTTTGACAGGTTTAGTCCTTGTTTCTACCATTTTCCAAGTGTCAGATTGTCCAGGGCAGTTGAAAAGATAATTTGCAGTAGAGAGTAATTGGAAGGGTGGACCCATAAGTCATTCTGTTGGTGGGATTGGACCTGTCATCTAGGAGACATAGGACAGAATTTCCATCCCCCGCCCCCTGTATGAAAGAGCACTCAAGAATGACTGCATTCTATCCACACAGGCTTACCTTTTGAGTCTTGGGCATGTCAGTGTGGCGCTGGGCACGGATAGAGCGGGCCGATTTTGTAGGCTTGAGGGGGGCACAGTACATCTCCAGTCTTCTCAGATCACAGCTCCGGAAGCAGCACTCATCTACAATGCCTGTCTGAGGTGCCCTCCGAATGCTGGAGCCATAGCCTGTGGGCTTGTCTGCAAAAATCAGAGCAGCCTGGAGTTAGACAGAATTGCTTATGTTCACAGACTTCCATTAGTCCTGATGCCTCTCTTCTCCCCATAACAAGTCTCTATACTTCTCCAACATGTCCCCTTTTCTTGAAGTATCTCCAATAATGTCTGAGCCAGTATGTTCCTTTAGATTCTAGTATGTTTGCTGGAGTTATACCACACTCATGTGCAAGAATTCATTCACTATGTATTTTTATTTGTGTTGATTCTGCCTATGTATTCAACAACCTATATTCAAGGATTTTGTCTATATGCAGTCTTTTCACTTTTCTTCCTATTGTCTTAGTTGAGAGACCTTAGTGCTAGTTAAAACAAAATTACATATCAAGTTTTTAAAAATTTTGTAAACATACTGTTTTGTTTTTGTTGTTGTTAAATTGACAACATGATTTGTAGATATTTCGAGGGTACAGTATGATACTTTGGAACACATACATACTATATAATGATCAACTAAAGGTACTTAGGTTGACCATTTTCTCAAATATTCGAGCAAGAACACCATTTAATACATGATGCTGGAAAAATAGGTTTATCTCATTTTTAAAAATTAATTTATTTTTTACATTCCAATACCAGTTCTCCCTCCCTCCTTTTTTCCCACTCCCTCCACTCCCCCTTCCTCCCATCTGCTCCTCAGAGAGGGTAAAGCCTCCCATAGGAAGTCTACTATGTCTGTCCCATCATCTAGTTGAGGCAGGACCAAGGTACCTCTCCACCCCCACACCCCTGTGTCTAGCTGGGCAAGGTATCTCTCCATATAGAATGGGCTCCACTATGTCAGTTTGTGCATTAGTGTTAGATCTTGGACCCACTACCAGTAAAAGTTTTCTTAACGACTTGGTGAATGAGTACAGTTTTTGAACATAGGGCAGCTCAATTGTTCTTTTCTCAACTATTTCTATTGTAAAATCAAATTGCATATAGGCAAAGTTTGAAGTCTAGAAATATATCCTTATTTTATTGATGGGAAAACAGACTCAGAGTTTGAATGACTGGCCCAAGGCCACTCATGTAGTAATTGGTGGAGTCAGGATTTAAACTCTGATCTACTTGCTGTAAAGCCCAATATCCTCATGGAGCTTTTTTGTATAATTCCAAAAAAGTCACTTAAGCTCTGTAGGTCTCAATCTATTTGTACAATGGGTCATAACATCTTTCTTGTCATAATTGAGGCTAAGTTGAAACAATGTATTAAATAAAATAATGTACAGCACCTGGTACAGGAAGAGATCTTAACTGCATATTAATTTGTGTGCTCAGAGTCTCTTTTCTAAGATCTTAAATGATCTATGATAAACCGTTGTTGCCATTGACCATATCCAGAAGTTAAGAAACTCAGAACTGATTACAATAGCAGTGGGAAAGGAAAGGAGCACAATCACCTCAGAAAGCATGGAGCAACCAGTTCTGTTTCCTTACAGTATAACTATTGGACTGGGACAGAAGGAACTAAATGCCAGTAAGAACACTGATATCAAACCTCTTTTGATTATTTACAAATCAATTAGACCTCTTTACTTGGCTAGGCTTTGGTTTGATTTGATCTGGTTTTTGACCACACTTTTACTGACTTTCGAAATTACAAGGTAAAACAAGCTTACATAGAACTTAACATGCACCAAAACCATCACTTTTTGTCACTATAGAACTTTTGTAGATCAAATGTTGTCCATACAGTAGTGTACCAAACGTACACAATTTTGATCTGGTCTTATATCCCTTACATCCTTTGGGACGTGAGCTATTTATGATCTCTCCTGTGATATCTAGGCTTCATGAAAGAAATTTGTTAATTACTGACCTTTAAGAATCCAATTAACAACCTGATATATGCTTATTCTTAATTCCTGACCCAAGATGGCATGGCATTAAATAAAGTCTTGTAATCACATAAATAATGACACCATAAATAATGGGGTTCTGGAAGTCAAAGTTTTCATCCATATTTTCCACTCCCTCATTGAGGGACATCAGGTCCATGGCAATGCCCTGCTATCACACTAGTTTGGCTGCCTCACTGACAGAAAGGCCAACTGTTTATGGCAACCTCTAAGAACCCAAATGTTTTCCTGATGCTTGGCACAGGAACCTTGTTGCTGCTTCCTCACATAAAGAAGGTTTATTCTTAGGGCAGCTGGAGGTAGTAACTTCGTGAGGGTTTATTTGCTGTCTTTCTGGTAAGTTCTGCTCTCTCTCTCTCTCTCTCTCTCACAGCAGACCCTGTGGGCTGCTTGTGGTTGTGGGCTTGGGGAGGGACCAGACAGCTGGGTTTTTACTTGCCATTGGCGGAAGACTAACATGAAGTGGACTTAGGGCTTTTGCTTGCCAGTCAGGCCGTGGCAAGTTGAAACTCAGCTAGTCCCCTGGACAATGTAAACAGTGCTTTTGTTTTCTTGTTTTTTTTTTATAATCTTTTCCTGGGACTAGAAATTAGAGGAAAGACACAAATGGATGTACATGGCTCTTGTAATCCAGAAAGGACTTCTACATAGTTTTCTAACTGGATAGTCAGTTAAGACTAATGGATACATTTGGGTTCTCTTTGCAGGTAGGGAAAAGGAGAGAAGAAACCTGTCTCTGTGCTGTACCTATCACAATAGTAATCTTCAGGTAATGACTGGCCTTTGTTTATACACACATTTCTTAAAGGGCATGCATAAAGAGTTACTTGTTGGTTATAGAATAGTTATTTGATATTTTTGAGTGGAATTGTAGTTCTTCTAGAAACTTCCAAATTTGGCCAGTTCAAATACAACTGTTTTCACAACTCAGGCTTATGGATTGAAAATGGAGAGGGATGGATTGGTGATTCTAAGACCTATTTAAGGTTTCTATTCCAAGCACTTCTCAATCTTAATTCTTCCATCCATGCTTGCTTCAAGGGAAGATGCCAGCCATTATCTTTGGAACAGCAAAAGGCATTTCCATGTACTACATGACCCTTCTTGGTGACTCTTAAGAGCCATGAGACCACTACAGGTCTATCTGATCTTCTGAAATAGATGGTAACCATCACAACAGCCAAGCATGGCATGGCACACCATCACAGTTCCTAGCTTGCTGTATGTCTCAGAAGAGCTTGGAGTTTGATGTAGTTTGTTCTAAAAGTCACTGTGCTTTCCAGTCTACAGACTGATGCATTTTGAAGCAGTTGGAATTTTTCTGTAATGTTCCATTAAGGAGCTTGACTTTATCTTCTATCTGCATCTTTTTTGAATGCTATGGGAGCAGTGGAATATATATGTGGATTTTTTCATGAACCAGTTAGCTCAAGTTACCAATTCTACGGGGATGTTTTTCTTTGTCAATTCATAATAACTACAATGGACTTATAATACTTTATTCAGAATTTATGAGTATAGCAAATGTTTACCTATTGCTTTTTAAAGCTTAGTTAATCCCTTGAACTGTCCCATAGGCTTGATTTTAGCAATCATCATCTCTCAGCAATTGAGGAGCCACAGTTGTAGGTCAAAGTTTTAGGTTTTATTGTCAACTACTTCATATAAGTCTTCTTTTAAGAACCACAATAAAAGTATTTACTGTTATGATCTAAAACAGGAAGCCTAGTGCAATACAGTTTATCAGATAGGCAAACAAATCTCCCAGCATCTATTGATATAAATATGTATCTCATCACATCTAAATTATAGCAAATTTCAGTCATTAGATTTTTTTAAATGAACTAAAACTGGTTGCTACACCATTGCCTTTGAAAACTCCTTGTTACATGTTTTTATTCTGATTGGTAGAATCAGAATTATCAGGGAAACAGAAAACAACATTAACTAAACATAAAAGATTTTAAACAATTTGAAAAAAAAAAGAAAGAAAACAGACTTTCTTGAAATGTAACGGACTCCCCGTAGGAAGCAGCTAAGTAAAGGCTGTAAAAATCCCTGTCACTGACCTTTGGAGCAGGATCCTATAGGGAAATGGATGACTACTGTGGTTCTTTCTATTCCAGAGGTTCTACAGAAAATCTTGGCTAAATGTTCAGCATAGTTAGGAAACTCACTGTCTTCAAGAAAGAGTTTCAAATATTTTTAATCTTAGAGGATGGGTATTTATTTTCTAATTATCATTTGTGTTCTCTAGAATGCGCAAAATACTTCTCAATGTTTTTACCCAATGCAATAGTAAAAGACAGGTGACCAGGACAGTACCTTTCCCAATGAAATGTGATCTGAGTATTCTCCTAGCATCTACACACTTAACTGTTGTACAGTGTAACATTCCACAGAAGTTTTGCTGACAGTCTTTTTTTAAACTTTTTATTTTTAATTACTCATATTTACATATCCATCCCCCCATTCCCTCACCTTCCCCACCCAACCCACCCCCCCAATTCTTCTCCAGGGATAGTGAGGCCCTCTACCAAGGACCTTCAAAGTCTGTCATATTGTTTGGGGGCTGTATCTGGGCTGCAGTAGTATCCCTCGATAGGGAATGGGCTCCCAAAGTCCATTTGTGCTCTAGGGATAAAGACTGGCTCCGCTGTCAGAGGAGCCATAGACTGTCTTGGGCTCCTAGCTGGTACCCACATTCAGACAGTTTGGTTTGGTCCAATGCTGTTTCCCTAGCTTTATGACTAGGATCTCCATTCTATCAGTAGGTCAGGTCCACTGTTTCTGCAGGTCTCTCCATCCCTGTCTTGGCTCCTTTGCTCAACCCTTCTCCCTCTCCACAACTGAATTCCAGTAGTATGGTTCAGTGCTTAGCTATGGGTGTCTGTTTCTGCTTCGAACAGCAACTGGATGAAGACTCTCCTTCCTCTCTCTGCTCCCGGGGCTCCAATTTGGTCAGTGGTTCTGGTCCCCAACCCCTTCTTCGAGGGATTATGTAATCTTCTCTTGGGGTCCTCCTTGTTTCCTAGCTCCTTTGACCATGTGGAATGTAGGCCAGTGATCCTTGGTTCTATGTTTGAAAACCAAAAGTGAGTGAGTACATACCATGTTTAT